TCCAATGAGGTTGCCTGGTCCCTGGGCCAACTTGGCTGTAGTCTGCCTTCCTCTTGACCCCTCCAGGGGTGGCCCCGGGACCTTCTTCCTCAAGGGACCTCCTCCCGTTTCTTGCGTTGTTTTCATTTGAAGGTTCCCAGAGCTGTGGACACATTGTGTGTTCTCCTAGAAGAGCTTGTTGCACAATGGACCCTTGTTATGAGACTGGGGTCTGGAGTGGAGGGTGAGTTAAGCAGAAATTCAGCCCCAAATGCTCAGGAGTTATCTGTGCCCATAACTTTAGGCTCTTCCGTTGCAGAGGTCTGACTCTGTGCCAGCTATAGGGCCTCGCACTGCATTTGTTCCCCCATTTAACCTTATTGGCAGCCCCGGAGGTAGGTGCCACCAGCTCCCTGTTGCAGGCAAGGAAACCGAGGCTGGCAGAGGAGAAGCTCTTGCCCGCAGCCAGCTGAACCGGGTTTGGAACTCGGCGCTGTCTGATTTCTCAGCACTTTCTGAACTGAAGACTGTGATACAAACTTGCTCTTGAAGTTACAAACACTAAAGCCAGACAGCCTCGGTGCGGTCTGAGTGCACTCCTTCCTGGCTGAGTGACCTGGACAGCTGACTGTCCTCCCTGAGCCTTAGTGTCCCCACCGTTGTTAGAAATGGTATAAAGCTCTAGTGTCCCATGAAAAGCTTTTATTATTATTATTATTATTATTAGCTGTAAATGTAAGAGGGAAGATTAATCTTCAAGGTAAGTGCAACTTGCCTTAAGCAAAAATATATTTTCTCGTCGAAGTTGGGGCACGTAACTCCCCGTGAACCCTGTTTGCCCTCTGTCCCCCAACAAAACCACTGGGGCTCCCAAGGCCACCTGAAGATCCCCCTCAAACTCAGCCCCCACCTGATCTTGCTCCGGGAACAGAACCAACATCCTGACACTCCCAGGTTTTGGAGAATAGGCCGTGGGTGGATCAGAGCCCCTTGAGAAGACTAACTCTGCCCTTTAGAAATGGACCTCTCGGTTCACAAAACACCACCAAGAAAGGATCCCAACCGCAACCACAACCACATCAGATACGTAGGAAGGAGAGGGCACCACCTACAGTTTCTGAGAAACACGTTGGGAAGGCGTTGACGTCACCAGTGTGGAAAACACTGACTTGAAGTGTCAGCAGCGTGTCCTTCCGCGTTGCCTGATGCCCCACGACCCTTGCTCTGCTTGGGGCAATGGAACAGGCAGCACCTTGGCTTCAAGGGCGGGGGCGGGGGCAGCCTCAGAAGCAGAGAGAAGGCTTTTGCGTTCCCAGCGCCCGGGCCTTTGACAAAGCAGTAGTGACACAGGACAGACCAGTGCTCACCAGAGGGGGACGGGGGGCGGGCGTGACTCGAAACAGGCAGCATGAGGGTGTTCGGGGGTTGATGGAACTGTTCGGCTCCCTGGCTATGATGGTGGTGACAAAGCTCCATGTGCATTAAAATTTACAGAACTACACACCAAAGGATAGAAAGCCGATTTTACTGCGGATTGATTGTTTTATATTTTTTTCAAACCTGGGCTTTTCCATTTCAAAACTCGGGGCACAGGAGACATCAAGAATAGCACATGTATAATGAATGAAAGCCAGGTTTCCTGCCCCAAGACTAGAAAAGTCCCCATGCCGGGTTGGTAGAGTATGAGAGTCCAAGAGAAATTGAGAAGAACATCGTTCTGGTGGGTCTGGGAAGTGTCTGGTGCCCTTGCTACTGCCCAGGCCAAACCTGTTATGGGGCAACCGATACCCCAAGTTGAGGGGCAGGAGTCAAGGACAGGGAACATCTGTGCCCAAATCCATCCCTTTCTGCCATCAGACGTATGCAGCTTCCTTTCTTCACACCAGCGTCTGTCACCTGTTCAGTAACTGGCTGGATAAGTTTGAACCAGTCCCCTTGACTTACCTGCCTCCGTTTTCCTGCAGATAGCAGCAGTCAGACCCAACCCAAAGAGTGGTACCCAGATAACAAAAAACGGGACCCTTTTAAGGATGATTGATAACACACACGCTCTGGAAATAATCTAGTGAGTGCTTGAATGGATAATTGAGGTCAAGCCATGGCTCTGGCCCCTTGGAGGCCTCTCTGGACTCTCACAGGAAGTGCGAACCGTTCCAGGGAAGATCTGGCAGGAGGGAAAGCAGAGTGGTTCACTGATGACAGGAGTGACAAGACACAGGGACAAGTTCTGACTCTACTACTCATCCACACTCGCCCTTGTGTCTCTGGAAGTTGTCACCATCTCTGAACCTTGGTGTCCTTACCTAATATTTGAGGGACAACAATACCAACCACTTCTGAGGAAGACGAGGTTAAAGTATGGAGGGCACCCAGCACATAGTAGGTGTTCAATACATGTGTATTTCCTCCTTTCTTTCTATTGGTTAATAAGGTGTTAGGTTTTTCAGGGCAAGACCTGCTCTCACTGGTCTAAGAACTTGATCTCTCTATGCCTCAGTTTTTTCATCTGTAAAACAGATTGCCAAGGTATAAACCAGTGATGGCGAGCCTTTTGAGCTCGACGTGTCAGCATTTTGAAAAACCCTAACTTAACTCTGGTGCCGTGTCACATATAGAAATTTTTTTATATTTGCAACCATAGTAAAACAAAGGCTTACATTTTTGATATTTATTTTATATATTTAAATGCCATTTAACAAAGACAAATCAACCAAAAAATGAGTTTGCGTGTCACCTCTGACACGCGTGTCATAGGTTCGCCATCACTGGTCTAAACTGTGGGGACAAATGCCTTATTACTTCATTCGGGGAAGGGAAGGAGAGAGGCTAAGGTAAAAACCAGGATGCCACAGCATCCCTCAGGCCTGGGAAGCTGGAAAGACTTTCCCAGGATATGAGACTCTCCCATGAAATTTCATGACAGCATGAAATTGACAGATGTGGGAAAGCAAGTCAGTCAGCGTAGAGCACAGTGGCTCAGAGAAAGGACTGGAGTGTTAATGCCTCAGCCCCACGTCCACTGTACGACTCTGCATGTGTCAAGCCACTCTGAGCCTCAGTTTCCCCTGTGACAATGGGAGTACTCATTCCCACCTCACACAAGCTGTGGGGATCCATGAGATGCTGCCTGTGAAAAACAACGTGGTCCTGGCACACAGCAAGGGCTGGGCAAGTGTTATCTATTGATGCCAATTTATTGTTATTGTTTTCCAATGAGTGTGTGGCTTGGGGCACTTATCCCCAGTGGGCCTCAGTTTCCTCCTCTGCAAAGGAGGAGCAGCAACCCCTCTCTCCCAGGGTTATGGTGAGAATGGAGAGCCCACAAATAAAGGGAAATCAGAAGCAATCCCAGTGGTTCTCAACCTTCCTAATGCCGCGACCCTTTAATACAGTTCCTCATGTTGTGGTGACCCCCAATTTCATTGTGACAAATTGAACATAATTGAAGTGTAGTGATTAATCACAAAAACAATATGTAATTATATATGTGTTTTCTGATGGTCTTAGGCAACCCCCGTGAAAGGGTCGTTCGACCTCCAAAGGGTCTTGATCCACAGGTTGAGAACCGCTGAATTAGACTGTTTTTGACACTTTAAGAACAAGATTCCTCTAGTTGGAGAAAAAGACCTGGACAGGAATGGAAAAGGGCCTAGATGTGAGAAGGCTGGTGCTTTCTCCCCGTGTTCCAGGTCACCTTGGAACGTGGGTCCCCAGCCTCAGCCCCGCTCAGGAAGCCATGAAGTCTTGAGTAACATCCCCATCTCAGGTTTTTCTCTGTTTAACTTGTTAATCAAATGGCTTAACTGACCCACTTACTAATATGATTGGCAATTATTTACTTTGGAGAGCCCTGAAAGGCACCACCAGATTGCAGAATTCTGAATTCTCTAGAAACCCATCATCCGATGGCACGTTTCCTTATTGCCACGCTATAAAAGCGGCTGCCTCCCTGGCAGGAGCAAGCAGAAGAGGGAAGAGGAGACCAGGACAGCCACCAGAACCTCTGAGAAGCCCAGGTGAGACCGGCCCGTTCTGCTCCTGCTCTGCGGCCCTGAGTGGCAGGGGTGCCAGGCTCTTTGCTGTGGGGTGGGCACTGGCTGACTGCACTTAGGATCACTCATTGGGGGTCTTCTTAAAGGAAACAGGACTGGCCATTTTCATGAGGATGGCCAGTCATTCTGCTTCTCAAGGAAACCAGTAATGTCAATATAAAAGCATTTGCATGTAGAAAAGGGAATTCGATGGTGATGGGAGGCACGTGGCTGTAGGTGTACACTGCTGAAATCTCCCGTGGGCTCGCTCTTCATATCCTAAGTCAAAATCTCTATGGCTCAAGTGCGACCTTGAGGCTATAACTACCCTTCTCTGGTCCCCTGATTCTCCTTGTGAAATGAAGACTTCGAATGGCCCAGGATTTCCCCAGCACTGGTCTGGATGAGATGGTGGCTATGACCGTATGCTCTCTGATAGTCTGTGACTTGCAAGGGCTTCCACAAACCATCGCAGGCTGGACCCGGACCAAAAGATTTAAGGAGGAGGATGGCAAAGCAGTTCAGTTCCTCAGCTACTTGGCATGCTTAAGTTTTTCATTTGCTTTGTCTAAAGAGTTGGAACTAGTGGCAATGATTCAAGCCATTGCAAGCCAGCCAATTAGAGAGTAAATCTGAGGGCACTTAATTTAAACAGAAGTCTCTGGGTCAGACAGATCTGACTTCAAATCTTGTCCTCAGGTGTACTTGTGACCTTGGGGGAAGTCACCTAAACTCACTAGACTCCCTTTTTCTCACCTGAGCAATGCAGATGATTAGTGCCACATCTTAGGTTGTGGTTAAGATGAAAAAGTTACTGAGTGTGGAGAGCTCAGCCTGATGCCTGGCACAGAGGAAATGCCGAGTAGTGCCAGCTATTGCTATTCTCTCCCCGGTGTTCTGAGGGCCAGTGGTGGGCGGTGGATAAATTTCTCTCTGGTATCCATGCCATAGTGGGCCTGTCATTCTGTCCACAGATAGCAAGGAGAGAAGATGTTTCAAATTGGGGGCCTCATTGTCTTCTGTGGGCTGCTGACCCAGACCACAGCCCTGTTGGAAGCCCTGCCCTTGCCCTTGGGTCAGGCCCAACCCTTGCCTCTGACTCCAGCCCTGGCCTCAAGTCCCACAGATCTTGCTGGAAGCCTGACAAGTGGTAAGTGCGAGTCTATGACAACCTCCTTCAGGTGGTGTGTGTGTGTGTGTGTGTGTGTGTGTGTGTGTGTGTGTGTGTGTGTGTGTGTCCAACCATGGAGGGAAGGAATGAATGGGGAAGAGAGGCTGAGGATCTGAAATAGTCAGATCTGACCCCTAAGAACCCCTATACCCATTTCCAGCTCTCAGCAATGGCCTGCTCTCTGGGGGTCTGTTGGATAGTCTCACAAACCTTCCACTCTTGGACATTCTGAAGTCTGAAGGAGGAAATTCTGGTGGCCTGATTGGTGGCCTACTTGGGAGAGTGACTTCAGTGATCCCTCTCCTGGACAACATCCTTGAGTGAGTAGCCCTAAAGTAGGGCCTTGGTGCCCACCAGAGAACCTCTGTTGGTGATCTGTTTACCCCAGGCAGTGGCCCTGAAGGAGGGAAATGGGTGGACTGAATATGAGGCCAGGACTCGGTCTGAGACCCTTCTCATAGTCTGGCAGGGAACACCAGTCCTCTTGAACCAGCAATTACACTCAGTCCTAAAGCACATCCTGAGTCCCCAGCATCATCTGTAATCCTCACGACAACCCTCTGAGATTGATTTAATAATCCCCACTTTGCAGAGAGAAAAATTGAAACTAGAGGGATGCAGAGTGAGAGATCTGACTCTAATTTACTTAATTCCAAAGTCAAGGTGTTTCCCACTACGTGGTGGTAATTTTGTTCTCACCTTTGGAATTCCTTAGAACACAGGTGGCCTTTGATGTAAGCAAGAAAGTGTTACCACTCTCCTCAATGACATCATTAATGTGATATCAATGGAATGACTTAATATGGGTTTCCCATGAGACATTTGAGAGCTCGCTAAGCAAGAAGGAATAGTGGAAAGCTTAATGCAATGAGCTGGCAGATCCTGGGTCCTTGATAGGGCTGGATTAAAGCAATTTCCAAGATTCTTACCCACCCAGGTGCTTGACCCTGACTTAAAGACAGACAGATAGCCTTGTGTTTGATTTCCAAATGCACCATGTACTTGCTGAGTGACCTGGGACCAGGCACTCAGTCCCCCTGGGTTTCTCGGTCCCACTTAGTTTCTCTATAAAATAAATATTATGGTTTCCACAGAGGAAAACTGTTGGGAAGACTGGAAAAGATGCAACCACCTGGCACAGTGGCTGGCTCAGAGAAGAAGCTTCCTTCCATCCTCTCTCTATTCTCCCTGACTTCCTACTGCTCAGTCTCCATGATAAACACTGTTAATTAACCTGCCACTGAAAGTCATGGCAGCATGAGTGATTCCCACTATAAATGTTTGTTAAAAACTTACTCCTCTTGCCCATACAGCATCCACTCGTCCACTTACCCATGCATTTGTCCATCCTTCCTTCCATCTAACCACTTACTCTTCCATGCATCCATTCATACATTTATCTACTCACATGCTCATCATTCCATAAAGTCAACCAATATGGAGCAGCCCCTTTCTTTGTAAGGCTCTGGACTGGCATACAGAATGCACATGCAATCCAGATAGAATGCAGATATAATTCAGTCTCTATCCTAGAATATCTCACAGACTCAAGTTGAGGAGAGGGCCCTGGGTATGTCAGGGTCTGGCCCAGTGCAGAGATTGGGGAGGACTGATGTAACGCAGAACCCATGTGGTTTTGCCACAAGACTCCTCCCCTGTCTCCCCTATTCCACCTCATGGTTAGCTCCACCTCTGAGATGGATATGATTGGGTTAAAGGTGGTTTCTAGGTTTGGGGCTAATGTTTCTCCCTTCACCTCCTATGCAGTGTGAAAGTCACTAATCCCCAGCTGCTGGAACTTGGCCTTGTGCAGAGCCCTGATGGCCATCGTCTCTACCTCACCATCCCTCTGGGTGTGGTCCTCAATGTGAAAACGTGAGTAGGCTCCAAGTAGGGATGGGAAGGTAGCTCACCAAAGGAGACCCTGATGACCATGGGTAGCCAAAAAGGGCGAGGGGTGGCGGGGGAAGGGCACTGGAGTTTGACATATGCCTCCAAGTTCAGTTTGTTTGCTGTTAGGTCAGTGACCCAGAGTCACTTGGGAAACTTACTTGACCTCTTTGAGCCTCGGTTTCCCTACTGGGAAATGAGATGAGTACAGCTGAGGATGAGGTGAGGCTGGCGTTCCTGGCAAGGAGAAAAGCCTCTGCCTCCTTGGAATGTGGTGGGTCCACTATCTCCTCTGCAGGCCCCTCGTCGGAAGTCTGTTGAAGCTGGCTGTGAAGCTAAACATCACTGCAGAAATATTAGCTGTGAGAAATGAACAGGGGAGGATCCACTTGGTTCTTGGTGACTGCACTCACTCCCCTGGCAGCCTGGAACTCTCCCTGCTTGATGGGTAAGGCCAGGGGGGTGGCTTCACCTGCCCAGAGACAATAGGATGGGATGATAGATAGATGGTTGAAAAGACAGAATAATGGAAGAATGGATGAGTGGGAGGATGGAAGGGTGGGAGAATGAAATGATAAGAAGATTGAGAGGAGGGAAGGAAGATGGATGGATGGATGGATGGATGGATGGATGGATGGATGTAAATGGATGGATAAATAGTGACTTATCCCTTCTTAAGCTGGGCTGACCAATTTTATGCTGGATCAGGCAATAAGAAATCCAAGTTCAAGCCCCATCTACTAGAGGGAATCAGGAGAGGTGGAGGGTTTCCTGGGTGAACTTGGACAGTACTTTCCCAAACTGTATATCTAGCTGCATTGCCGTTGTGGATTGATAACCCACTAAGATCATAAGTGTGAGTCCTGGTAAGGGGTAAAATAGCTACAGAACCTACCTGGGTTACTTACTTCAGTTACTTGTCACAAGACTGAGTCATGCACAATATGACAGGAGTTGTCCCCATTGTGGCTAACATGTACTGAACACATATATCATGCTTCATATGCATCATCTCATTGAATCCTCATGAAAACTACACACTAAGCACTGATCATCCATTTATGGACCCTACAAAGTCTCATTGAATATCTTCTGTGTAATGGAACTATGTGTTTATTCTACGTGTGCCACTGTGTGCACTACGGGGTGCCACTCCCTTTGGGCAGCCCTTTGGTGTTTGCCTGTATGTGGGTGTGGATGGACGAGGCCCAGTTTCAGGAGCTTAATGCTGAGACTGTGATGGGCCCAGTGGCCCCTCAGAAAGCTTCTCCATACCAACCTCAGGCCCCTGAACTGCCCATGGCTTTTTTCTTTCAGGGTTGGCTCCCTCCCCATTCAAAACCTTGTTGACAGCCTCACTGGGGTCTTGACTAAGGTTCTTCCTGAGCTGGTGCAGCACCAGGTAAGTGAGTAAAGTGTGGGCTCCTGGCCCTGGGCTCCTAGATCTTCTCAAGCTGAAAGAGGCCCCTGGGGGGAGCTTTTCTGAGCCCTTCAGTTTAATAAGTAAATTCATTCATGTCTGTGTGTCCATCGATCCATGTTTCTTCTTTCCATCCTTCAAATGCATTCATTGGTTCTTGCTCTGGGCGAGGCCCTGAGCATGTCCACACTACAGCTGAAACGGATTGGCCTGCCCAGAGAAGCTCCCAGTCCACCCCCACTATGGCTGCAGACAGCACTCTTCCAGCCTGGGCTTGGACACCTCCTCCAGCCAGATGTACAGCCCTCTCAGACCAGTACACCTTGTCAGAAACAGAGGTCGTGTCAGGAAGAACCCTGGCTCACTGTGTGGTTGCACACTTCACGCACAGGCCTGCGGTTTCTCCTTCTGCCCAGTGGGAGTGCAAGCGTATATCTGTGGGAATGCTTAGAAACAAACACTCTCAGACACGGAGAAATAATAGAAAATCTACCCCGGAGAATCCATCCTAAAATGTTGCTGCTCCCAGAGTTCCCCTCCAGGTACCACTTTGTCTAATTCCCCTCTCTCACCCTGGATCAGGTGTGCCCTCTGGTCAATTCAGTTCTTGCCAACTTGGACATGACCCTGGTGCATGACACTGTCGGTAAGTACCTGCTTCCAAGCCCTCTCCCCTGCTGCAGGAGCAGTGCCTGCCCCCAAGGAGCTCTGTCCCCACACACCATGGGACAGATAGATCCCTCCAACCTCAGCTCTCTCCAGAAATGGTTTCTTTTGCCTTGAAATATACAGAGAATGTTGAGGTATAGGCCTTGTCTCCGACCCCCCCTCCCCCCCCGCCCCCCATCAACCCTGACACTGAGAACAACTGGGCTGGTTGGTGGAAGGAGGAGTTGCCCCTGCCAAGCCCAGCCTGAGCTTGCTCAGACCTCCAGAGTTCCTGTTTCCTGACCCTAGGCCCAGGAGGAATGCTGAATATCCCAGACACCTCCACACTGAGACCACCACTCAGGTCTGCAGCGGTTGTTTTCTTATTTTCCAGATAAACTGATCCATGGGCTGACATTTGTCATCAAGGTCTAAGCCTTCCAGAAAGGGACCTGGCCTCTGCTGAGCTGTGAGTGCTGCTCCCAACTCCCCGGGATTTGGGGGCTACTGCTCTTCCCCTGGGAACAGCAGGGGGCTGTGACAGTAACATCCAAAGAGAGAGACAAACAACCCACATTGACTGCCAGGATGTTACCCTGCATCTAGAATTGTCCAGGAATCTGAAGAAGGGGCTGCAAGTAAATTAATAAAGAGACTAGACATGAAATATAAATATGGAAGGCATTTGGGGGGAGCCAGGGAAGCTTAGCTTTAGTAGCTGAGTTCTCCGAATCTCCGGGCCCAAGGCTCTTTATTCCCACATTTTGCCCTTTAGGAAAGCAAACACACATATCAAAGGTAAAGTTTGGTAAGCAGTAAAGTATCAGGTTGGGGGAACTGCCTTCAGCTGTTCAGCTGTTTGCCCAGTAGCAAGTAATAACATGTAGATTTTCAGGTTTGGGGAAATGCCCTCAGCTGTCTGGCAGCAGGCAATAATATGTATCTTCAGCCCTGCTGAAGCCTCAAGGTTCACCAACCTTTGATGAACTTCTTGCATTTATGACCTGCTCGAATTAGCCCCCAGCAAGCGACAAGCACAGATTTGCACAGAGAAGTCCACAGAAATGCTGACAGAGATGGAGAGACATAGTCACAACAGAAGAAACATGCCTGGTCATGGATGCACACTCACACCCAAACACATGATCACTCAGACAAAGACACACACTCTCACACCAACACATTCACACATGTGCACACATATGCAAACTCGCCACACACAAGTGCTCATGGATACACAAACACACATTCACTCAAACACATGCACAAGGAGCCTCATCACCCCAGACCTGGGCTCCCTTTGTGGCTGAGACAAGACCCCTAGCCCCTGGGTCTCAGCCTCCTCCCCTTTCTCTGGAGGGTTTGGTGATGACCAATATCAACAAGAGTCAGTGACCTCATTCTGATTGGGGTCTTCTCCCAACAGAACCATTTCCTGCTGCTCAATCCACTCCCTGCCCAGCTTCCGAGGACTCACAGAAGGCTATCTATGTCCTGGACACTGTTTCGGGACCAGAACAGCCTTTTCTCCAAGGAAACTGTTCCCTCTCCTTTCCCACTACATTCCATATTCTCACCAAATAAAATTGTTCTTTGTCTGCACAGAGTGTCTTGTCATTCCTCACCATCACTTGAGGGCTCTAGGCCTGGGTGTTTGGAGCCATTGAACAGAGTTTGGACCTTACATCGGAGATCTTAATGGTCTTCAGCAGGACCAGGAGGTGTTCAGATGAATGTGAATTTCAGAGTGGCTACTAGAATGGGAGGACAGGAGGTTAGGGCTAGATGTAAACCTCCAGGCAAGATTACCACACAAGAAGTAAAAATGGCAGATTTGAGAAATGTTCAGGAGGTGGACCTGGATAGGTGTAGATGAGGACAGGGGCTCCTGTCCATGTCTCAAGTTGGGGAGCCCAAAGGTAACTGGAAATGTGGGAGGGTGAGTTGATTCCAGCAGGAAGATTATGCCTTTAGCTGTGGCCAAGCTGTACAGAAGTACTTGGGCGACCACAAGAGAGAGTCCAGGAAACTGACAAACACACACTCCTCTTTGCTACTTGCATCTAGTCATACTGGCCCCTTTTCTGTTCTCACAGCAAGAGGAAGCTAAAGATTAAAAAAAGGGGGGGGGGAATAGGATCCTGGCCAGATGGCTTGGTTGGTTGGAGAATTGTCCTATACACCAAAAGGTTGCAGTTTGATACCCTGTCAGGGCACATATCTAAGCTGTAGGTTTGATCCCCATTCAGGGTGCATACAGGAGGCAACTGATCTCTCTCTCTCTCTCTCTCTCTCTCTCTCTCTCTCCCTCTCTTGCTTTTATTTTTCTCTCTCTCCCTTGCTCTCTCTCTCTCTCTCTAAATTCAATAAAAACATATCCTCGGGTTAGGATTTTAAAAAGAAGTGTAGGAGGAAGGACAAACTGGTCCAAAGTGTTCATTGCTGAAAGGCTTGAGGAAGGTAGGGATAGAAAAGGGTCATTGGAATCCTATATAATAAAAGGCTAATATGCAAATTGCCCAAATGGTGGAATGACTGGTCGCTATGATGTGCACTGACCATCAGGGGGCAGACGCTCAACGCAGGAGCTGTCCCCTGGTGGTCAGTGTGCTCCCACAAGGGGAGCACCGCTCAGCCAGAAGCCAGGCTCCCCAAGCAGGCCTAAGCCAGCAGTCGGACATCCCCAAGGGCTTTCAGACTACGAGAGGGCACAGGCCGGGCTGAGGGACCCCCCCTCACTCCCGTGCGTGAATTTCATGCACCAAATCGCTAGTTGTATATAAAAAGATGATTGATACCACAGGTGAGTGTCATAGTTTTGGAGGAAGAAGACTAAAGGAACTAAGAAGAGGAAGGTTTTAAGGATATTGAGACTGTTAAAGCAGATAAGATTTATGAAAAACTGAATGCAAGAAGGAAGAAGAACAAGGCTACCCAGGATGGGGAAGGCTGTCCCTTCAAATAAAAAATAAATGTGCTATCATAGTTTGAGATCCTTATTGGACTCACTCAACTCTTTCACTCCACACATGAGGGTACTGAGCCTTGTAGTTTATATGAATGACTTGCACAAGGTCAGAGAGTGACAAAAAAGCAAATCAAGAACTGAAACATCCCAGACTTCACAGAAAATCTTGTCCCTTGCTCTTTGGGAGACCTCATTGACCTTGTGAAATTAAGCAGATTCAGGGTAGTGTTTCTCAATCCCTGCCAAATATTTGTCACCGTGCCCAGACCCACCACTGTCTGCACCTACTATTGCCACCAGCCAATGTGACATCATGGGAGGACAGTCCCAGAGTTCAGAGGTCAGAACTGCAAGAAGGTAATTGTAGGAAACCAGCATGTGTCTCCTGGTGGAGGAAGCATCTTTCACACTCACAGAAGTATGAGATCTTTGAGCTCAGGATGAGTAAATTCCATAAACAGCTGCATGATCATTGTGAATGTCTAATTAGTGAACCGAAGTACAGAGGACCTTCCTGAATGAGAGTCAGCCATCAGGGCCTGATTGGGCTCAGGGAAGATCCAAGCATTAGCTACCTTCATGTTCCTTTGGGGCAGGTCAACACTGAGAGTCCTCCTTGGCTGAGGGTCCAAAAATCAGTGTGGATAAGGGCAGGTGCACACACCTGGGACCATCAGAATTGGTCTTGCTGCCCCATGACCATGGCACCAAACTACATTCCCACCTAGACACACTTCCACTGCCCATTCTGGACCATTTTCCAGCTGCTCCCTGGGCTTCTGCCTGTAGCTCACAGATGGGTCTTTTCCCTCCCCTAACAATTTCAATTTGTAACTAACTAGTCTAAGACTCCCCTGGATACAAAACAGTCTGAGAGGTGGCAGGTTAATGAGAACACATTTATGACTTTTAAATAGTGACATTTTAACACCTAAAAAAAACTCCCTAGAGCCCTAAGTGGTTTGGCTCAGTGGATAGAGCATCGGCCTGCGAATTGAAGGGTCCCAAGTTCGATTCCGGTCAAGGGCATGTACCGTGGTTGCGGGCACATCCCCAGTGGGGGTTGTGCAGAATGCAGCTGATCGATGTTTCTCTCTCATCAATGTTTCTGACTCTCTGTCCTTCTCCCTTCCTCTCTGTAAAAAATCAATAAAATATATTTTTTAAAAAACTCCCTAGAAGGATGTCAGTGAAAATGGCAGACTAAGACCTCTTGCCGGCTAGTGTGGCTCAGTGGTTGAGCATCGACCTTTGAACCAGGAGATTGAGGTTTGATTCATGGTCCGGGCACATGCCTGGGTTGCAAGCTTGATCCCCAATATGAGCAGTTGATCAATGATTCTCTCTTATCATTGATGTTTCTATCTCTCTCTCCCTCTACCTTCCTCTATGAAATCAATAAAAAATATATCTTTTAAAAAGACCTCTGAAAATCATCTCCTACATAAAAGCAATGAGAAAAACAGCAAGAACAACAAAAATGGTCAGAACCAACTTTTTCAGAACTCTTGCAATTAACCAGAGACTTACAGCAACCTGGGGGTATTTATTCAATTGATATATCATCTCGGGCTCTGTGAGCCTGCCTTGTTCAGTAGCATTTCCTTTCGTATTCTACAAAGGCCACTAAGGACTCCAAAGAATATGCAGAGCAAATATCATAGGTTTTCAGTGAGTTGGATGAAGCTGATCCACCAGGGGGAGTGAAGACTGTGGTTCTCACCATATCCATGAACCCTCTGGACCACAAGGGGGCAGGCACTGGCCCCATCAAGCACAGGGTCCTACCTAGCAGAGTGCTCTCTGAAAGAAAGAAGGAAGACGGGTCATTCACCATGATCAGCCATTCAAAGCAACATCTGTCTTTATAGATAGATATAGATATAGATATAGATGTAGATGTAGATGTAGATGTAGATGTAGATGTAGATGTAGATGTAGATATAGATAAAGATATAGATATAGATATAGATATAGATATAGATATAGATATAGATATAGATATAGATATAGATATAGATATAGATATAGATATATAGATATATAGATATAGATATATAGATATATAGATATATATGTATACACTGAGTGGCCAGATTATTATGACTACCCCATCAGTACAATTAAGTCAATTAGTTATGCAAATAATAATAATAATAAAAGCTTGAGAGTATTTGCTTAGGAAGTTTTCAATATTCAGTATTTTTGGAAGTGTCAATGAAGTACTGATAGGGTAGTCATAATAATCTGGCCACTCAGTGTATATATTTATATATTTATATATTTTTAATTGATTTCGGAGAGGAAGGGAGAGGGAGACAGAGATAGAAACATCAATGATGAGAGAGAATCATTGATCGGCTGCCTCCTGCATGAATCCACAACCCAGGCATGTGCCCTTGACTGGAATCGAACCCAAGACCCTTCAGTCCACAGGCTGACACTCTAGCCACTGAGCCAAACCAGC